TGGAATTTGAACGAAAGATAGAATGAGATAAAAAGAGACTCACCGCGCGCTTGTAGGGACTCACATGCACGTAACCATGTGCAAGTACAAATGCGTGTCTAGGTGGCTAGTCGCGTCCTTGTCATGCCACATGTTGCACATCAATTAGTTGTTTGGGGTCCAAGGGCGTGCATTCGAATCTAGAGGCGCACACTAGCTTTCCTTCGATTTTTTCTACGTTGACACATGACGTACACAGAGTTGGGTTGGGTTCTCTGGATCTGTTTGCTGGTTGCAGGTCGTGTGCAACTTATTGGGTCAGACCGCAGGTCGATTCTTAGGTTAGATCTAAACAACGTGTCTCTAATGAACATCAAATGCATTTTTCCACTCTCCTCTCTCGACATGTTTCCCAATCGACGTCTGACACGCTCACCCCCTCTTGTATCTACTCGACACCAAGCAATAAATTTGAAGTTAGCTTGTAGAATAACTTTGATCACACCCTTTCAGTGCCCATGCTTGTTTACTACTCGACACCACGTATAATTACCATAAAATTGTTTTTCATTATTGTTGCATGTGACACAAAATCTGGAACCTTATACATTACTGCAAGGTGTATAAACATGGTTGTTGCTAAAAGTGCTTCCAATTCAAGTTTATGACACAATAGACTTAGACAAATGAGCGGAAAATGAATGAAGATACTAGCTACGATAGAAGTTTTAGAAGGCCCAAAATATGTTGATATGGATCTTTGTGAGAGCTATGTTTTGGGCAAACAAAAACGAGTTAGCTTCACAAAGGCTGCCAAAGAACCGAAGAAATTTTGATTGAAAATGGTCCATACAGACGTTTGGGTACCATCTCTAGTTCCATCACTTGGTGGATCAAAGTTCTACGTGATCTTCATCGATGATTTTAGCAGGAAGGTATGAGTTTATTTCGTGAAACACAAGTCAGATGCCTTAAGCATAGGTTCTCAGATCGTATCGCAGGGCAAGCCCTAAATGCAGGTTCAGACTACGCTGCTTGGAACGTAGGTTAAGACTATGTCGCTTCGAACATATGAAGCCTTGGCACAGGTTGTCAGGTTCATGACTAGTAACATAAATCCTAGGGGAGTGTCTTGGAAAACAAACCAAGAATAGAACAACAACCTAGAAAGTAACAAAGAACAAGACAACGATCAAGGGCTAGAACAAGGATCAAGATCTAAGCTCTAAGGACAATAAACCAGAACCATAGTACTAAGGTCCTTGGATCAGAACCAAGGTTTCAGAATCCAAGGACAAAGGTCCTCTAGGTAGATCATAATAAGAACCCACAAGTCAAGAATAGAACGGAGGGGCGTAAGAACCAGAAAAAGAAAAGAAAGAGTGTGATACCCTAGCGTATCAAGAACACAATTAAGAGCCTACTACTTACTGAGTCTTTGTATTTATTCCATGTTTTGCACGTTTTTCAGGTAAACAAGGAGTTGAGCAAGGTCAAGAGCAAACTCTAGAGTTAGTGTCATAGACAAGCCTCACCAGTCGTCCTCAACCTTTTTATTTTAAAATGTTTTGTGTTTGTTCCTTATTTTGTAATTTAACTATTTTATTTTAAAATGTTTTGTGTTTGTTCCTTATTTTGTAATTTAACTATTATGTTGTATTTTTATATAATAATGTATGAACACTATTTTGATATAATATAAATATAATGTATATTATGTTTTAAATTCCTTTTATTTTATTTTGGGAAAAGTTTGTCTGTCTTTTAAAGTCGTCTAGTCAACCCCGTCCTTACATATGATATGCTTATGAAATGATATGACTATAATATGTTTACGACACAATATGAAATGATAAGTCCATCATATGATTTGACTATGAGATGATTCGTGAATGTTATGACACGTGTTATGATATGATGTACTGACGATATGACAAATGTTATGGTGTAAAACATATGGCGATATAGTACATGTTACGTAATATGCTGATGATACATACATACATACATACATACATACATACATACATACATACATACATACATATATTTCTTGCACATGATACACAACATGATAAGAATAATATATGAAAAATGTGTCAACATGATACACAACCCAAAATTGCATGGAAAGTTATGATAATGATATGATATGTAGGAAAACGGAAGGAGGTTGTTTTACATGATAATGAATGAATATGTTGGAACCTCATGCGTCATTGTGTGTTCATGCATTGGGGAACATCTCCTTTTATGATGGAGACAGAAAAATGATCATTATGTTTATCATAATGCTATGATGGTTGCTATTCCTAATGGGTGTCCGACATCAATAACCTTAGAGAATGCTCGCCCAACCATGGAAAGGGGCCCCAGGAAGTGTGCGAACCGACTGGTGGGTCCATACTTGCACGTGTGGACCGTGTGTAGAACAATAAATACACATCCAATTAACCCCTTTAGGATAGTCGCGTTAGGAAATACACGCTGATATTATAGGTCTCACTCATGATTGTATATGCTTGATCTAATCCCAATAGTGGGATCACTTCATGAGTATTTCTTAAAATGGTCAGGCTAGCTATTGTCGATGACCACATTGCAATTCGAGACCGTGACACATGCATAGAGTAGTTGTATTTATTTTCTTAGAATTAGGTTAGAATAGGGTGTTTTACTTTTAATGTATATTATTTCATTTATGTTGTTTCGTTTTAAAGATGTTTTCGAACATTTTTGTCTATGACAGTATTTTAAGATGAACTTTATGTTTTATTACGAAGTTTGAAACGTTTATTTCTGCATAAGAAGATATGTTATGATGATGATAGCGAGTCTAGGTAAGTATAAATCTAGGGTCGTTATAACAACCGTAACTTGATGAACTCTCAATTTTCTCGAAGGGAAAGACTGAATCCACCACCCAAATCTCTATTCAACGACCAAGGGAAATATCTATTTAGGATTTGAAGCGGATTTTTTTTTATAGGCTTCTTGAGACCCCTCAAGTCAGAGTAATTTAATTTGACTTTTTTCCTATAACTACCTCGAGCATGTTTCCCTTCTTCATCGACTTGAGTATCGGTCTCCTCGGCCTACAATAAAATCTTATAATTTTTAAAACTAATGGAGGGAAGCAACGAAGTATGTGTACATGTTAAGCTCGGGTGTTACAACCACAATTTAAGAATCAGTACAAGTCGGTGTTGTTCGTGTTTATTACAAATGGGGAATGAGTTTGGGATATAATTTCAAACAAATATAAAAGAACCAAAATACATAGACACGGTTAACACCTCGAGACAGTACCTTTGTGACCCTACAACTCTCACAAGACCACTTTGAGTCTAGAGGTGGTTCACTTTTTTCTGACATGACAAATCTACTTGACCACCTATCATAGCTATGGGTGAACGGTTTTGATTATTCTTTTGACTGGGTCATGAATGACCAGGTATCCTAGTTCAATCCTAGATTGAACTGCTATCTCATAAAGCTATTAGGACAGTACGACATCTAGATGATATAAACATCATCTATGGAAGATTAACTGGTAACTCCTTCCACAGTGTCATTGAGTCACTAAGTTTGAGGGAGCGACCTTATGTGCTTGTCAACTACTAGGTTCTTAGGGGTGTCTAGACGGTTTAAATCTCATCTCATATTTCCAAGATTCTTAGGACTAACTCTTCGAAGCTAATCCAATTTCTGGGAGCACTAAGATCTAAACCTCATATTGCCACTCAAGATCCTAAGGTGCTCGGTCCACTAAAAACATACGTACCTTGGTCAACATGAAACTACTCCAACTGAAGCGTCCTGATCTTAACTTGGTTCTCTCACGCATGCTTTATTATGGAGATAATCTTATCAATCACATAAACCACGAAATTCATAATTTAAACACTCATGCAAGCTTAACGGAAAGATAACATTCATCAATCACCTGAAGCAAAAATCACACTATCTTATCCTCCTTTCTAACACAGCATAAAATATTAAAATCTACATGCATATTAAATTCTCATGTCACGGGCATTTCAATAATTTTCCATAACATACATACCATTTTCTTCTCACTCTTGTATCTCTTTTCACTTAATTCGATTCAGGACTTCATTCTTATAGAAAATTTATGGATCTAGAGAAGAACAGAGGCTAAACCTGAAACTCTTACCTCTCGTTCTTTATCAATTTTTGACATTTTCGACTATCGAGAGCCCAAAATGTTTTTTTATCTCTTCTCTCTTCTTTCATTTTCTTTCCTTTTCCTTCTTTATTTTCTTTTTTTCTTCCTCACTAAATTTATATTAGAATAGTTTCAAACCCCTTCAAGTAAGAAGGAAAAAATGACCATTTTGTCCCTCGAAGGTTTGATTTTGAACGTTTTTTTAACATTCTTCTCATGTTGGTAGGAGTGTTCAACTTTTTCCCTTCCAAAGCAACTTAAAATATGTCCTCTAAAATCTTCATTAAAATCTTGGAATTTAGAATTTAAAAAGAAGAATCAGAAAATTAATTATCATCGAGACTCGGGTGTTACAAACTAACTTTAGTTCAATTCATTCATCAAATACAAAGTATTGAAGATTTAAAATTCTTGTTTTCAATCGAAAGATGATCATGTACCCACTAGTAGACGCGCATGCACATACTCACACTACTGAAAAAAAAATGTAAAACAAAAAATGTGTATAATATCGTGGTACGCATTTTCGTTCATAAGTTTGTGTGATATATAAAATTCGTGAGGTTTCCCATTAAGAATTATGGTTCAATGAAATAATGCATATAATACCTCCTTACTTATCACAATGCATGAGATGTAATCATGATATCTCATGGGGCATAACAAGATTGTATTAACATAGAAAACATTAATCAACAAACAATTTAGTCATTTTTTTACTACAACTACACCACCTTCCGAAAGCTCACAATTCATAAGCTCATGACACCCACCCTTTGTTCGATATTTGAGGATTCTATTTCATGGTTAAGTTTAGGGTCATGACTCTGATACCATGTTAGGAATCACGACTCTCCACAATGGTATGATATTGTCCACTTTGAACATAAGCTCTCATGGATTTACTTTGGGATTTCCTAAAAGGCCTCATATCTCCACATACCAATGGAGATAGTATTTCTCACTTATAAATGCATGATCTTCCACTAAATTAACCAATGTGGGACTCACTCCCAATAATCCCAACAAAGGATTTGTATTGATGACTCGAAGTATGTATAGTGAGAGAGAATATAGATAATACAGAAACACATTTTCAAAGCTCTAGGATATATATATATATATATGTGGTTTAGCTTACTATATATAGCTACCCGATATAACATATATTCTATATAATTATCTACTATATATATAGCTTTGCCAGATATTATAACATGATATTTCAATTTACTTTATATGTCATTTACCAAATATAGTTTTACTATGTATAAACGTTGACTAAACTAGAAATATAAATATACATACTCCATAATCTAACATTTATGCATTTTATAGCCCTTAGTTCATCTCTATGATTTTGTCTATTGAATTACACAATTTCATGGGAGAAGGTGATAGCCGAATGATCAATTCTAGAGTAGCCCACAAGGATGTAACCTAGGCTCTGAAAGAAAATCTAGAGTAGCCCACAAGGATGCAACTTAGACTCTGAAAGCAAATTGATAAGGCATCCTAATTCTCAGCCTATAAATCTAAGATTTTGTTGAATGCAACTGAGGCTCTGAAAGAAAATTGATAAAGTATCCCTAATTCTCAGCCTAAATATCCAAGATTTTGTTGAATGCAACTTAGACTCTAAAAGCAAATTGATAAGGCATCCTTAATTCTCAGCCTAAAAATCCAAGATTTTGTTGAAGTAAACCCTTAACAAAAGAAATTAACGCCTCCTTATACAAACTTCGAATTTGAATCAACCCATAATCAACCCATAATAAGGTTAGAATTAGATACGTATGTTCAAAGATCTACAAGCAAGATTTAGAACCTTGTTTTAAATTGAGTCACCTCATCATCGAACTTGATCAAAGACTTAATTCAATAATTTAGATGCAATCTACCACAACAATTGCATGAAAATTAGAAATGAAAAAGATGATACTCAAATTTCTAACGGAGAAATTCTATAAGAGCTAAATTTTATTCATAAAAAAATCTAACTTTTACCTATTATTTTATAATAAAAAGAAATATCTAACTCTTCAAAAGGCACCCATGAAATTAGTGGTCATGATTGATGAGTTACTCAACTACCCTTAATCTCCACATAAAAAGGAAATAGATATTATGACTAGACTCACTCCAATAAATTATGGAATTAACATAATAAATAAAGTTTTATAACAAATTATTAAGTGCTAGTTATAACACTCTTATCCGCTACTTCAATCGTGCAAATATTCACTTTTGAAGCTTCAAACGGTCATTCTTCAATCGAACCAACTTGTAACACATGAAATAATGATTGAACCGAGTCTATTTAATTTTGTAAATAAAGAATGAACACTTGTTGAATCCTTTTAGCTTTGGATCATGTAATAGGTCCATTTAGAACATTTGGAACAATACTAATTCTCATACATGAACCAAATAAATAAGGATATGAACTAAACGAGAACAAAAAAATTTATTCAATATTATACTTAGACATAAAAGAAGAACAGCTGGAAATGACGAAAACAAGTATATGTATTCAATAAAGTTTTTTTAAAAAATTTGATCATCCCGATAACCCGACCCAACCCAATTTGACACGTACGTTCCTATAAAAAAAAAAAAAAAAAAAACTATCTTTTAAATAAAAAATAAAATAAAATGGAAAAAATAATTCTCTCAGCCTATATATTTTTTATTTCACAGTTGCTTTTTAAACTATATTAATTTTTATTAATAACTTAATATTAATAATTAAAAAGATGGAGATAGAGAGGTGATGAGCTGGAGAATTTTTAAAATGAGCTATTTTATTTTATTTTATTTTAATAATTATATTATGTAGTTTAATTGAACCATTTTCTTTTAAATTAAATGGTTTTAAAAATCCTTTTAAATTAAAAGTTTCAATAATATCTTTAATCTTAAATAAATAAATAAATAAATCTAAAAAAATGCCAATATCAATTTGTTTTGTTTTAAAAATTCCTTTCAAAAATACCTTTTAATACCTTTCAAATTTTTTTAAAAAAACTCAAACAAAAATATATATATATAATTTTAAAGGGAGTATTAAACCCTCTTATCTTCATAAAAAAAAAAAAAAATTAAAAAATTCTTACTGTTAATATATGGACGAAACCGTCTATCGTCACTTAATAAATTAACTACAAATATTTTAATACTATTTTGAAAAGTAAAGTTCATGAGTATTCTTAAAACATGGAATCAACGTAAAACATATTTTTTTAAAAAAAAAATTAATATATTTTTGAAGTTTTTTTAAATAAACATTTTGAAAACTCATGCCTATTTCTTTAAACCCCTTTAAAAATTAAAAGAGTATTTTTAAAATAAAATATTAACGTTTTTGAAATTTTTCAAAAATTTAAGAGTATTTTTTAGATTATTGTTACTGAAATCAAGAATATTTGTTTTAAACAGATATTTTTATTAATTTAAGAAATTTCAATTCAATTTTTTTTTTTAAATATTGTTTTAAAATTTCCTTCAAAATACATAAATTTTGTGTGTTTGTTTTTGTTCTTATTATTATTTTTTATTTTTAATGATTGTTATTCATCATTACTTTGCCCAAAAATAGTCCGAGGAAATGGAGATGGTCAATGATATACTGAAACTATCATCATTAGGATAAAAACTGCCAATAACTGTATTTTTTAACCTTATGTTCTTGTCCCATACAAAAAAGTCATCGCATGCAAATCTATTTTATATAATTTAATGGTGACTTACGAACTTACATATAAAATATTACATAATCTATAAAATTATAATTATACCCCAAATTAAACGTTTTATACCCTTTCGTGTCATATTTAGAATGCTCATTGATATTTAAGTGTATAACAATGCTAACTCACCGCTAGCAGATATTGTCTTCTTTGAGATTTTCTTTCAAAGATTTTCCCTCGAAGTTTTAAAACACGTCCATTAACGAGAGGTTTTCACACTCTTACAAGTCGTTTCCCTTTCTAACCGACGTGAGATCTCACAATTCATCTCCCTTGGAGGCTCAGCATCTTCGCTGGGACTCCATGTTCGATGTTTGGCTCTAATATCATTTGTAATAATCTTAACTCACCGCTAGCATATATTGTCTTCTTTTGTCTTTTCCTTCAAGGGTTTTCCCTCAAGGTAATAAAACGTGTCCACTTGGATGAGATTTTCACATTCTTAAAAGTCATTCCCCTCTCCAACCAATGTGGAATCTCATAATCCACCCACAAGTTGTTTCCCTCTCTAACCGACGTGAGATCTCACAATTCATCTCCTTTGGAGGCCCAGCATCTTCGCTGGGACTCCATGTTCGGTATTTGGGTCTAATATCATTTGTAATAGTCTTAACTCACCGCTAGCATATATTGTCTTCTTTTGTCTTTTTCTTCAAGGGTTTTCCCTCAACGTAATAAAACGTGTCCACTTGGATGAGATTTTCACATCCTTAAAAGTCATTCCCCTCTCCAACCAATGTGGAATCTCATAATCCACCCCCCTTCGGGGTCCGACAACCCTAACCTACCACTAGCAGATATTTTTCAATTTGGGCTTTCCGTTCAAGGATTTTCCCTCAAGGTTTTAAAACGCGTCTATTAGAGAAAGGTTTCCATCCCCTTACAAATTGTTTCTGTCTCCAACCGATATGGGATCTCACAATCCACCCCTCTTGGGGGCCCAACTTTCTCATTAGCACATCGCCTGATGTTTGACTCTGATACCATTTGTAACCGCCCTAACCCATTTCTAGTAAATATTGCTCTTTTTGGGATTTTCGTTCAAGGGTTTCTCCTCAAGGTTGAGATTTCCACACCCTTATCGGTCATTCCTCCCACACCCTTCCAGGTCGTTTCTCTCTCCCCAATATGAGATCTCACAAAGTTAGTTTATAGTTATAGTTAACAGACAAATGTATAATCAAGGTTAATTTGGGATGATCATAGTTCATAGTCAACTTGAAATTTATGTAGTTTATCACATGAAAAACAAAATATATTATTAAAAAAATACATTTTTTTCTTTTTAAGTAAATGAAGATATTCAGTCAAATTTCTTTTGAAAGGACCAAAATTATTATTTTATATTATTATTTGAGATGATTCTTGAATTATAATAACCATTTATAAGGAATATAAATAATAAGATTAGACCATTGGCCTCTCAAAATAAATATTTTTTTTTTAAAAATAAATTTAAAAAAAAAAAAAAAACACAAAATCAAAAGTTAACCCAATTAGTACTCCCTTTTGGTGCATTCTCTCTCCTCCCAAATATCAACCATTTCTCTCTCTCTCTCTCTTCAATTTCATCTTCTTCATTTCCCAATTCCATGTCTAACCCATGTTCCAACTCATTAGCAAGTGTTCCAAAGTTCATCTCCTTCCACCACCATTCCTCCCCATCACAACCATCAAATTCTTCCCCAAATATGTCTCACAATTGCTTCTCGTATCCCTACCCGAGCTCGATCCCGAGCCCGAACCCACCTCCACCGTCATCTCCGCCGCTCCGAGAGGCTCTTCCGCTACTTGGGCTAATGTCTCCTCCCGAGCAGAGGCAAGAACAAGAAGAAGATGACGATGATGGAGGTAGCAAAGACGAGAACGCGTCGGTGACCGTGGCGTTGCACATAGGGCTACCAAACCCTAGCCCAGCTGAAATAGCTTCCTTGATGTGTGGCTCTTCATCTGAGATTGATCAAGAACATGAGTTTGGACAGTCCACCAAAACCCTAATTAAGGGACAGTATTGGATCCCAACTCCTTCTCAAATCCTCATTGGTCCTACTCAATTCTCTTGCCCTGTTTGCTTCAAAACCTTCAATAGATACAACAACATGCAGGTAACTAAATTCATCCATTCATTTGCTAAAAACTTGACCAAATTTTTTGTTTTTTTGGGTCTTATAATTTTTTAATTAAATCCAATCGAAATCTAGATTCGTTTTT